CTTATCATTGCCGAGCGCTTTTCCAAAGGATGATTAGGCAGAAAGATTTGATTTTTTTTTTTTTTTTTTTTAATAAAAAGAGTCAAGTAGTTTAAGTGCGGCTCTGGGGAAAGACTGGCTTCTCCAAGACACAGAAACTGGCTTCTCAGAGCTAACAGCTTAAGCGCCATAAAAATTAAAGGATGTGATGGTAACAATGCTCACAGCAAACACTCAGCAGCGGTCCCTCCCGCCCCTCCCCCTCCTTCTCTCCCTGTGAACCAACTTCTCTGTCTACACTTCAGAAGTCTCCAGGAGGTGTGGAGAGATCCTCCATCACGACTTGGGACATTGTAAGCTGTGAAGTTTATGTTTGTGGCGCCTGGGCTCAAACAGCCATTCAGTGGCTTGCTCAGTTATCAAGAAAACAACAATCAGAAAAGATCAGTAAACAGAATCACTGCCAGCGCCCTGAATTAACTACTTGCATTTTAGTTTAAAAACATTGACCCACACTGTACAAGTGAATTGTTTTTATTTTAAATAGTTAACGAGAATTCAAGATTTGGGGCCATTTTTTTTAAAGTAACACTTTAAAAAAAAGTAACACTTTGTAAATAAAGGTACACACACACAAAAATCCTTTGCCCTTTTCTCTAGGCACTTCCAAAGAAAATCTGACTTGTCTCGTTGTGACTAATCTTTAATTGTTGATTAGCAGAAAGGAAGTAAATAGCCCTTAATGAATACAACACAAGCATAATTTGGATTATAAATCTCCCCTACAAAAATTGACTAAACTTGACAAATAAGAAAATTTAAGTACTTTCTGCTTAGTTTACTAGTACTAGGGATGGGATTAAAAACCCAAACTGATAGCGTTCTATCCAAATTTAGCTCTTCTGGCGGTTTGAACAGAGTTTTTAACATTTTCCTTCTTCTTCTTCCTTTTTTTTTTTTTTTTAAAGAAAATGGAAAAGGCTAAATAAATCCACATGGATTTGCAAGTTATTTCAATGAGAACGATCTTATGGCTTAAGGATTCAAGGTGGTAGGGAAATGCTAAGTACTTCTAGGTACCTTAAAAGCACATTGTCTTTTAGCTAGTAGTCAAAGGGCTGAGATAGACCAAAAAAGAGGTCAATGCAATGAGTTTAACAGGCTTATTAGGGTGAATAGCAGCAGAGCATTACAAAGTCATCCATTTAATCTTGAATTAAAAAATAAAAAAACCAAGTTGTGAATTGGTAAGTGGGTACACACACCCATGAAGTATGTCAAATAACCAGAAAAGTTATTTCAACGAAGAAAAAAGTCTCTTCAAATATGATTCTAACTTAGAAAGGACGTTTTTTAATGGTAAGGAAAACCAGGCCCATGTAATGAAAAGGAAAGAGAGAGAGTAGACTGAAATAGAAGATGTTATTGTTCTGAAACAATGGGGGTAGGAGGATCCTGAGTATAGATATGGATTCCCTGATTTAAGGAGAGCATCCTGGATGTTTTTAGTTGCATTAAGTTTTAGCTTGCAGAAGCTGGAGGAAATGAGTCATAATGTCCAGAAGGAAGAATTCAGAGTAATAAGGAGAGGGAGGATCAAAGATAATAGCAAACAGGAGGAATTTCATTAGAAGAGCACACTCAAAGCTAGGTCTCCAGAGGTGTGCAGGGGAAAGGAGAGTATGTGCAAGAGATGGTTTGCAAACAAGGAGACATTTCAGATACATATTTTAGAGCACATGCTGAGGAGTCTAGAGGGGAACACACCTTTCATATGAATAATACAAGAACTGGAATGCTATGGACCCATCAATCCATTCTCAGCCATCAGGCAACAAATATCTTGAATCTAGCAAGTGAAACCAAATCGTTCACCACTCCCCTCCCAAATTACTGTACTTAAATTCAAGCTGTGGACCTCAGAAAATCTGACATCTATATATGTAAAACATCACCTCCTTCCCCACTCCCCACCCCCCTAACCTTAGGAATAAACGTCAGGATGAGAAAGCATCACAAAGATGTGTGCCTCACTTAAGTCCCTCCATTGCATTCAAACCCTAAATAAATTTTCCCATCTAACCTCTGTAGAGTCCACCAGAGGCTATGGCTGGGGAAGGGCATTTAATGTTTTCCAAACCAGGACTTGGGCGATCAGTAACTTTGCAAACACCAATATTCGCCTTGGACCTGCCATGTTTGCGCTTAATCAGTTAGCCACCCCAGGTATGATGGGGAGAAAAAGGAAAACTGAAAAGGCAGGCAAATAGAAATAGTGAACAGAAAGGTAAAAGAGCCAAGTCCGATGGGAGACATTAGAGAGAGATAGGAGACGGGAGAGGGGAGAGATAGAGACAGATACAGCGAGAGAGAGAGCGAGCGAGCTAGAGAGATCTTTCCAGTAGAAGATCTGTGTGAGATAAGACATAACTCCTGTTTTTCTCAACAGAAGACCACAAGCCATTATTACCGCCGGCCAAATTATTACCCCTCTGTGAAGAATTAGACACAACAATCAAAGTAATCAACGGGCATGTCTAATGCACTGTAACATTTTCAATGCAAAGTTTGTTTTCTCTCTGCCCCCACGTTAGAGCCTGTAATTAACCCGTTATGTAGAACGATGCCAAACAAAAGGCTAATTGAGGCTCGTTTCCCGACTTGCGGCAGGTTTGGAGAGGGTGAAAGCAACTGAAGAGCCCCGGAGCCGCGGGGCTCCCCGGGTCTCCAGCCGGGCCTCCGCTCTGCCCCCCGTCAAGGGTCCGAAGGGGCAGGAGCCACAGGACACACGGTTAGGGTACGTTAGCTCTCGTATTCATTAAGAATTGTCAGAGACGTAAACCGGCATGACACTGGAGCGTACAAATGAACCCAGTTTCTAAAGAGTCAAAGTGTCATCCCGGGGTGGAGAAAGTGGAGGCGACAGTGTGAAGCCTCAAATCCTAAGTCTGCACCCGCAAACGAAGAAGCGCCAAGAAGCCTGATTTCGGGCAGGGCCCTTTATCTATCCTCGGGTTCTAGCTCTCACACAGGAACTACTGCTAAATGCAGGGGCGGGAGTGGGAGGGGGGAGTGTTAGAAAGCAAGTCCCCGTTAGTCCGCGGAGGGGGGGCCTGCGGAGCACTCCACCCGGCCCCATCCCATAAAAGGCTCTTTCCCCAAGGAGCCTCCACCGCGCTTCTCAGCCCTAGCTCGAGATACTTCCAAGGTTTGGGGAATTAGAGTTGGGGGAGAAAAAGGGAAGGGGAGGGGGCTGGAAACAAGTTGGGGGTGGGAAAGAAAGACAAGAAAAGACACACGCTGACCAGTCTGGGAATTGCTGAGAAAACGCTCTCCGCTCTAGGCCTGCTCTTCCTGCGCAAATAAAGCAGCATTTCTCAATCGGCTGACAGCAGCCACTGGTAAATAATGGTCATACCTCACTGACTAGGCAGAAAGGCTCTCTTTTAGCAAGAGCTTATACTTGAAATACAGGTCATTTCAACAATCCTAAGCAGGAGACTTTGGCATAAAGCACTTACTCCCAGAAAATAAAATAATGACTCGAAATAAAACCCCATTTTAAGCAGGACCCTCTTCCTATTTGGGTGGGGTGGACAGGGCAAGAAAAGAGCAGAAGGAAGGAGAGGTAGGGAGCAGAACAGGGAATAGCATCTTATTTTAAAAACAAAACAAAAAAACAAAACAAAACAGTAACATCACCGCTGAGAACCAAAGGGTTCCATCCACTTTTGATTCAACTATTAAAATACAAGCTGGCAAATTCGACCTTAACTATTTGCAATTAAATATCACACCTACTGTATGTCAGTTTACCCATTCACATGCATTCCTTAATTTCAGACATTTTAATGGCTTACTTGTAAACATATAAAAGAGGGACCCTGGGTCATTGCATTTATTTATCTATGCCAAACGTTTATTAGTGAAATAGTCCTGAAGATATAATTCTACATATGGCGCTTTGATTTCACATAATATTTTAAGAAAAAAGACAAAACACATAGAATTAGACATATAATTCAAAGACCACGGTATAACCTTTATCTTTTTTTTTTTACTTCAGCAAACAAAAAATAATGTCAAATGACATGAAAAGTGGCAAGTCTTTTGACAATAAATAATAAATTACTTTATAATTTTTGCAATGCAAGAGCAAACAAAAAAAAAGTTTCCTTTTTTTTTCCTCTTTATTTCCAGAGAGAGAAAACAGTCATTTTAACCAATAACTATACACATCTTTGGGGGAAAAGTTCGTGGACAGACACAAGTCAAACACAATCCCGAGACGCTTGTGGCAAAATAGAGGTAACCTTGTTGCAATGCTTTATACGTTGGTTTTTAAATTTGAATTCAAAAACCTTTAAAGTCGCTTCAGACTTCTTGATAGAGGATGGATCTCAAAAAAAAAAAAAAAAAGAAGAAGAAGAAGAAGAAGAAGAGGAGGAAAAAGGACGAGGAAGAGGGGGAGGGGCAAAAGTAAAAAAGAAACCAGCTACAGGACATGCTAAGAGACCCAGGATTTCAATTAACCCCTCATTAAAGTCAACTAAAAACATCACAAACCAATGCAGCTCCACCTTCCTGAAAGGACTCTTTCAGCCAAGGAGGCCAGTTTCTCTTCCTGCTCATTTGCTGGAGCTCCTGTTTGGCAAGGCAATGACCAATATAGAAACAGCACCATTCAGAATAGGATGGACTAGAAAATCTCTATTTCTGCTTTTCTCTAGATGTGCAGTGAAATGAAAATGCTTTTTTTGAGATCCTTGAATATAAATCCTCTACGTTTTAAAAACGTCTTTTTTTTTTTTTTTTCAGTACTCCTAAGGTCATTGGATAGCGTATGATGGGTTTGGGTTTTGTTTGTTGTTTAATTCTAGTAAAATCCCATGATTGTCTTCACAGTGTTGCTACCATATCACCTTGTCATTAAAACAGACTTCGTGCATTTCATGGAGCATTCATTTCTCGATTCAGTTTTCATTGACTGGGTCATTAAATACTTTTGTTTCGGAGTTCAACATTATACTTTCCCACTTTCTCCAACGGGGGGGAAAAAAATACATCTGAATGAATGTTCCTCATGCCTCAATTGGACTGGCTACCATGCTGTTAGGTGTATCTGGGAGCTGAGAGGACATCGACGCCACTTCACTGCCAGTGGAATTAGAGCCCGGTCCTCCTTCTGAAAAATTCACCTGTGTAGAAGGTTGAGAAATGAATAAAGGAGGCTGCGATTGTATTCTTTAAAGGATTATAAACACGCCATATGTGTATCCATACGTGGAAGGGTTTGCATGTGTAGATGGATATACAGATAAAGATATCTACATATGACTGAAGAAAAGAACTTGAGAAGAAATCCTCTCGCTTTCCCATCTTTCAAGAGATCTCTGTTTTATCTGAAACTGAATTCCCAACATTGTGTTGCATTAAATTATTTAAGAACAAATGTGTTTCCCACTGTAAAATGGCATCGCAACTCTACCATGCATGCTTGAAATAAAATTATCCTGCTGGCTACATGCTGCCCTGGGAGCAGGCGAGTTCTCAGTCTCTACGCATCAAAGCCTCTCTTCTCTAGTTGGAAAATCCATAACACACGCTCAGATCGTGTGACAGGAGATTCAGAGAAGGCTCCACAGAACAATGATTAACTCCTCAGAGGGTTCACAGCGTGGGCTTTCTTCCTTGTTGTTTGTTGGTCCTGCTGTCTTTTGGCCTTCCTCTGTCTTTCTCTTTCTCTCTCTCTTTAAATCAGGCTCTTCCTTCCGAGAGGAGACCCATATATTATAACGTCATCGCATTATAAATATCTGGCTCCTTCTTTTAAACCGAAAGTATTGTGTTGCTGTTGGAAACCTCCTTCTCCACTCTGCCCCCACACCCCCCCCTCCTGCCTTGGCTTCCCTCCCACTGCTCTCATCTAACACTAAAGTTTTAGAAGGTACAAACACTTGGCTGCCCTGAGCCCTCCTCTTACTTGCCTTCTACGATCCAGGTTTTGCTCAAATAACTCATTAGATTAACCTCACTTTAAAAGAAGTTCTTTTTCCTAATTCCAGAGTCTACCTTCCTTTTTATCCTATTAAATTTTCCCATGGTGAGGTCAAGGGGCTTCTCAAGTTTGCCCAGCCTCTAGACTGGTCTACTTACAAATGTAAACCCCAGGCCAAGTCCTTGTAACCACTGCCTCTGGCCTGTTACCTAACTGTTGCCACAGAGAAAGAAAATGTTCTCCGAGTAAATGTGAGGGTAAAAAGTTAACCTCAACTGAAGTTTTATTTTAGAAGAAAGGAACACGTTTTTAGAATAGATCTTGTTTTATAGAACAAGATTCCACAGGACTGTTGACCACTTAAGAAAAAAAAATATGTGTATATATGCCATATCACAAAGTACCTGTATTTAATAATCTTATTTATCTTGACCTTTAAGCCTTTTGTAGGCATAAGGTGAGTTAATTTTTTCTTCTCTGGGTCTGTAAAACATATTAATGCTAAAACAGGTTTTCATGTGCTCTCGGATTGGTAGAACTCATGTTCCTTTGGCCAGACATGGCCCACAGTATGTGACTGTATATAACATCTGTATATAACTTCAAATGTTAAAGTAGGCCTACGTTGTAGATGAAGTTGGTCCCAGAAAAGGATAATAATAATGAAAGGTATCCATCATGTCTTTAAATAACTGAACTCTCTATTGATACATGTGAGAATTGTACTCAGACAGGTGCCTGCTCCCCATTGAAAAGAACACTGATTATGTCTTACAACATTGGTTATTAACACGAACAGCTTGATTTTGGTCTTTAAATACACCATTCTCTAGGAGCTGAGAGGGAGTAAATTTACTCATTGCTGATCAAAATGACAAGGTGATCTCTAAAGTCCTTTCAAGCTCTGAAAGTCTAAGATGTATGATTCTGCAACCCCATCCACCTTTCCATGCATGTTTAGGTACTAAGATACCTTGGAGGTTATCTCTCAAAGAAGACCAACTGATAGAAAATTCAACCTGTATGGTCAAATTATGAACTCACAGAAAAAACTCACAAGAAGTTTGTTTCCCTTCAGCACTTGCCTCATCTACACCAAACCTCCTTCATCTCTCTTCAACCCTGGAGTCAGGGAGGCACCCTCTCCCCCTTGAATCTTTCATGGTGTGACAGTTAAGCCAGAATCTTCTTTTTGCTAGGGATTCAGCCTCCTCACTCTGAGAGCTGACACTTACCAGTTGCTGAAAAGCAGGCTGATCTATGTCACTCTGCAAGGCGAAGTCACTCAGTACTTTCCAAGGCGGCTGGTAACTTTGCACTTCCACTGGGTTTGCCTGTAAGCCACCATCGTGTCTCTCTGGACTGGCAGCCACCATGGGAGTTCCTGTCATCCCCTGGATATTCTGTGAATAGGCCCCCGCAATCCCAACACGTTAATGACCGAACTCCCTCCCTCCATTGTCTGCACAGGCTAAGCAAATACACCCTGGCATTATCTTATCTATATAGTGGCCATTATTGACTCAGTTAATCTGCTGCATGTATGGATACTAGCCGGAGTTCAGTTTTGTTTTATCATATGGTTTTTCTGCTTCTGTGGGTGGGACTCGTCGGTCTGCTTGGACCTTATTAAACTAAATTCTATTCTGACTTTCTCCTTTCCGTTTATGTTCACAGCTAGCTCATCCCAGCTCCTCCCATCTGCCTTCACAGACTATGGCATCACAGCGGTAGAAAGCTGCAGCCTCTAAACACGGTGGGTTTTCTGGGCAGTTTCAGTTACACTTTCTCCAGGCACTTCTCTTCACAGAGCCAACCCCCACCCCCAAGCATTTGGGTCTGGCCGCTATTGTGTGCTATTACACACTCACCAACTTGAAAAGTGCCCCGGCCCAGGCTTGGCTGGCCTGCCAAGTTGAATGACAGCGGGGGTTTTATGGCATTTAAAAATAGGGCTACAGCGGTAAAAAGAAAAAAAAAAAGAACCTCTTTAGTTTAATGCAACCAGAAATCCTGTGGAGTGGGTGTTGCCATGGATCTATGGAGCCCTGGGCTTGACCTAGAGCAGAGGGTGCCCTGTCGTCATAGGTCACCCTGGTGGACCTCACTTGTCTGAAGGTGCTAAGGCAGGCCTTGCCCAGAGTCAAGGGGCACACCCAGGAGGTCAATGGCCAGGGTGACCCACCCACCGACCCCTGAATTAGATGGGGAGCCAAGGAGGAGTCTCTCACTCTGGTGCTTGAGGAACTGACAACCTGAATGTTGGCAAAACAGGACCAGAACTTATTCTGGTCCCGGGGTGGGGTGGGGGCAAGGTTGAAGGGCATAAGCCCACCCACGTGGGCTGGGGGTGGAGGTTCAGGGCTCAGCAGGGGCCCTTGCCAGTTGCTTCTCCCTTGGGCATGGATGGAGGCAGTAAGGGGCTCCCCGCTTTTGCCCCGGGGCAGGACGGAACCCACGTGCAGGCCAACCTGGGCAGCCCCTTGCACCGTAAGCATAGCCCTGCTCCCCGCCCAGGTCCCGCACCCCCAAGGGCCACTCACAGTTTTGTCATTGGGCTGCTGCTGCTGGAGCTGCTTCATCATGATGCTCCGCTTCTTGTCCTTGCACCGCTTGTTTTGAAACCAGACCCGGATCACGCGGGGGCTGAGGCCCGTCATCTCCACCAGTTGCTCCTTCATGAGTGCGTCTGGCCGGGGGTTGGCGGCATAGCAGGTCCGCAAGGTGTGGAGCTGCTTCTCGTTCAGCACAGTCCGAACGCGGGTGGTCTTCTCGGGCTGTTTGTGGACGTGGGGCCGCAGGGCTGGCTGCCGGGCGGAGATGGGTTCAGCTGCAAGGCAAGGGGCGCGGTGAGCGCGGGCCAGGCATCTCTCGCCCTCCCGTGCTGCTTCTGGTCAATGGCCAGTGCTTTGCAGCCTCACGGCAGAGGTAGGGACCAGGGAAGCAAACGGGAGAATAATACCTGGCTCTCTAATCTGAGAGGCCAATGCTGAGTAATTCAGGCCCAGAACGCTGCCTCCAACCCTGCTCTTGTCAGCACAGCCTTAGCAAAGGGGCTCAGGTCTCAGGTCTCAGGGGCAGCATCATTCAGCATTGTTTCTCCTCCATCCTTGCCTGTCCTCATACCCAGACTGGGCCTAGGTTACAGGAGTACCCACCACCTCCAGACTCTTGGACAACAGGCACAGATAGTACAAGGGGAAATGGAGAACACCCCAATGTCAGCCAGAGACACTATACCAGCCAGGAGGTCTCTAATGCAAAGGTCAAAGAGAATTATGCCAGAAAGCCTTGAACTTCAGTCCAGAGAGGGCAATTGTGTCAAGGGGCTAAAGAAATTCAGTATTTTGGTCATAACTTCAGTCCTTGATTTTTCTTACTACTAAATCTACCTGGCTGTTCCTGAGATGGGCTGACCCCATGCAAAAGAAAACTGAAACTGTTGAGCTGCCTGGGCTCTAGGTAAATGATAGCTGGGAAGTGTTCTGTCTCCTGACTTCTTTCCAATATTTCCACCTCTTCTGTGTTCCCCCACAAGCAGAGCACAGGTTGCATAGAACAGAAATTGCCACTTTGGCTTTGCCCCTGTGCAAGCTAGCCATATATCCTCCAGAACAGAAGTCTTACAGCCTCTGAAAAAGTAGAGTGGACAGATCTGTTTCCTCACCACCAGTGTTTAGTAAAAATTAATACTTCAAAAATGCACCAGGTAGATCTATTCTTGAGGAGTAGATCTAGTCCTGAGGGGAAGTAAGGTTTGGAAACATTGCCTTCTCATGCAGCTCCTCTTCCTGGCCAGCCTTGTCCTGTTTCTACTCTCCTTCTTGGGGAAAGGGCTCTCTGAAATGTATGGTACAAATCCTGCACCTTCCAGGACCCCTAGGGCCAGGTCAAAACCTACTGGGTCCATTTAGTGTTACAGCGACAGGCCTGAAGATGAAATTCTCACCAAATCACATAGAACGAATGGTTTAAAGAGGCAGGCTCCCTTTAAAAGGCAATTACTGCAGATTAGCTTGTTGACAGTTTTAAATTACAGCTCTGTGCAATGGCGGGCAGTTATTAAGACTGTATCTTTTCACATCCATTCTTTCACAAAAGGATAAAAATAAACTTTAAAAATGTTTTAGAGTGCGGGGCAGTTGCAAGGAAAGAGGATTTCAAAGGCTAAATGACTTAGGACCACCTAAGCTTCCTTCACCGGGTTAAAGGAGGAAGCTCTGGGGGCCCAGAGCTCCACCCCTTTAATTAGGCAGCGGCAGGAAGAATACCTGGCCGGGAGCTGAAGCCCATTTTCAGTAAGCCCCGGTTTGGAGGCCAAGGTGAGCTGGAAGTACTGTTTGGATGTGTATATATGTGTATGCACTAGTGATGTACATTCATGTGTACCCATATTTATACATGCAAATGAGCAGATGTGCTGGGGAGGGGGATCTGGGGAGACACTGAATCGTGGACGAAAGAGCAAAGTACGGCGCAAACTGCTCACAGAACACTTCTTTTAACTGCTGGCAGCGGCCCCAGCGACTGCCCTGTGGCTACCGAGGTGGCCGCGGTGACCCGCGCACTTGGGTGTGCCCTGGCCTAGCCCAGCACCAGCCTCCCCGGGCTGGCCTCCCTCCGGGCAAGGAGTACCTGCCATTTGCAGCGGCCGCGCCGGGTGCAGAGGGCTGAGTGGGTCTCCGGCCCCCAGGCTGGCCCTCTCCACCACGTCGTGGTCCGCGCGGCAGAAGAGCCCGTCCTCCCGAAGCGCGAACTCGTCCCCAGGGATGAGCTGGCGGCTGCAGGCCACGCAGCGGAAACACTCGATGTGGTACACCTTGGAGCGGGCGCGCATCACGAAGTCGTTCTTGCTGAAGCCGATGCTGCACTTGGCGCATTTGATTCCGTACAACCTGCGCGCCGCCGGGCAGGAACCGGGGGGGAAAACACAGAAAGGGGGTCAGAGGGGGTCACTTCAAGCCAGCGCTGCCCCGGCCCAAGATTGCCGAGGACCCAGGGCCACACTGGCCTGGGACACTGAAGTCAGCTAACGCTGACTGGCTGGGAATGGGAGGAAAGAAATCATTAAGTTTCTCTCTCTTCTCCTCCCTTTCTTTTACCCTCTCCCATTTTTGTTTTTCTTTCCTATGAACCTCTGTGTCACCAACTGTAGCTCTTACTTCAGAACACCCCCAAAGTAAAAATGTTTGACGTGCTGGAAACCTGGACCTCTGTTCTAGCTCAGTCCCGGGGTTACCCTTGCAGATCTTGGCAGAAAGGAGTGAGGAGGGACTCTGGTAGTAATTGGCCCCACACTTTTGCCTTCTTATCCCCCAATTTCTGCTGCTAGAAATGTCTCTAAAACTGCTACAAAAAGTCCTTCCAAGAGAAAGAAAGGTGAGGGGAGAAGATTATCCCTCCATTCATTTGTAAAAATACACAGATGCGCAAGCAAAGTAACAAAATGAAACCTCCGAGGGTTTCCAGATCCCCTTCTGCACAATAAGCATGTTGCAGGTTTTCCCCAACTACAGATTTTTTCTCGTGCAACAGTGTTAACAGAAAGTTTCCTCTCCATTCTTCCTTTATCATCTTTAAAATCTGCTCCTGCTCCCTCAATTTTTTTCAAGCTGTTCAAGCATCTAACTCTATTTCAGTGTGCTTGAGAACCATGACCAGCCAGAAGAATGAAAAGACCCACTTCTAAGGTCCTCCTCACTCCTGACCTTTCCTTACCAAGGGACAATCCTTGTAGGTTCTACCTAGGTGGCACTGCCCTGACCCCCCCTCCATGTATCAGTAATAACAGAAGTGGGAGCTTTCCTACAGAGAATGGACCAGAGGAAAAGATCCACACAAAATGGGAGGAGGGCACCTCACTCCCCCAAGGAAAGCAGGGTGTTCAGACCTAAATAATGTCTCTGTTCTGCTTTTACAACTATAGGAGTTCAAAAGGGGACGCACAAACACACACACATACACACACACATAGGCACAAAACTGAGAGAGAAAGAGAGAGAGAGAGAGGGAGAAGGGTAAAAGGCGAAAGCGATTGGCTCCTTCTACAAATGTGTACATGAAATTGGCTACATGAAGGTCCGTATGCAATTGAGGAAAACGCTATCTCCGCAGGAGGAAAGATAGTCCTAGAGGTGCAAAGTGAGCTCTCCCTCTCCAGAATACGGAGTTCACACACTCATCAAGTAAACAATGAAAACGGCTCATTTGTCAGAGGTTAGAAGGTAGATTCAAAAGTTTTTCCTCCCTCCGCCTACTTTTTGTGAGATCTTCCATTTCATAGGAGGACTTTACCTTGCCTGTGACCAAACGATTTGGAAAATCCCTCCCCCTTCCTCCAGTTCCCCACTTCCCCTCTTTCCTCCCACTCTCCTTTCCTTCCCACCCCCATCCCACAAAGTATTAATAAACCCTTACACACACTGTTCAGTTTTACCTATCAAGATTATACTCTCTATTTCATGATTTTACAGTAAGAAAAAGTGCCGGACTGAACAGGTAAAAATTGTGACCACATTCTTAACTCTTGACTACACTTCTCAGCTCCAGAAAATGTATAACTTACAAAAGCTAATTACTTGTTAATAGCCACTAAAGAAATTTTTAAAATATATAATATTTTGATACCATTCAATATAATAGTGAAAGTGTTATCTCTTCTGTTTGTTATTAAAACAATAAAATTTTCTTTAGGAATTCTACTGGCTTCCTAAGGCAGAAAATGAAATTTCTGACATATATATATACACAGGTCAGAGAAAACTTGAGATTTGTGAAGCATGAAGTTTAGACACAAAATAAGCTGAAAGGAAAAAAAAAACTCAGAAAGTCCCCTATGTGGTTTTAGTCTTGTCAATATGGGCAATTCGCTCATTTTATCAGTTACCAGATTTTAATGTGAGAAAGGAAGCTGTTCAATTATCTAAATATACCAATTGTTCGTAGACAGATGATGGGCAATTTGATCTGCTCTGTCTAATTCATCAGCTCAGATAAGATAAGAAAGAAAAGATAGTCAGATGTCACCAAAGGGTTAATATTTAAAAAGATTAAATTTCCAGTCTTTTTGCAGGGAATATTGGGTTGGTTTTGAAATTTTCCAAGAAAGGACTCTTACCCTAAAAATAAATGGGGCAATATTTCTATTTGCACTTTCAAAGTGCACTTCTAAACATCCTTAGGTCAAACTTTTATTTTGCCTATTGCGCTGACATCTCCACAAAATTTGTAAATTACTAATAAAACACTTAACTATAAAAATAAATGAATAGGGAAAAACACTGCACGATACAATAAAACCAACCTTTAAAAAAGAAAGTTTAGAAAGCCCAAGTTATCCATCTTTGAATTTCTGCTTGTTTTGGAAGAGGAAGGATGAAAGAAGAAAATAATTTCAGCATCACAAATTTCAAGAGCAATTAAACAAGCTTCAACACCACACAATTTATGAAAACCACTACTGAGTTTGTGGGGGGATGCCCCCTAAAAAGTGAGATAAACAGAATAATTTATGTAACATACTTAAAGGGTAACTTTTGCACACTAGACCCCCACTAAGGCATACTTCGCAAAAAGACAAAGCCACATCTAATAATAAGAAAAGAGTAGAGAGAGACACGGAAATCTCACAAAATTAAGGAAACAATGTAAATGGCGTACCTGATATAATCTCTTTTACAGTAGGTTTTCCCATCTCTAACAAAGCACGTACAGCTCTCGTCCAAATACTGATTACACTCCGCACATTTCAAACATGCCGCATGCCATTCCAAATCCGGAGAAACCCTCAGAATATACTGATCGTGAATTTGATTGCCGCAACCAACACATAGGGAAATCAGACGTTTTTCTGAAATGAAAATAAATACATGATTGACTAACCGTTTACTTCCTACAGAGATAAACACACTTTTAGTGTCGTTCTCTTATAGGGCGTACTCTGGGAGTTTCCCCCCCCCCTTCCTTTCTTTCCTTCTTTCTTCTTCTTCTCCTTCTTCTTCTTCTTCTTCTTCTTCTTCTTCTTCTTCTTCTCCTTCTTTTTAAGAGTATTGCACTTTGGGATGGTAATTGAAGTGTGCCATCAAAACCCTGACTCATTTTAAAAAGGAGGTGGAATATATGTAAAACGCATTTTTGAATAGTCCACATTTGTAAGCCTAGCACGCAATCAAACCCGTTCATTTTGTATTTCTTTTTCCTCCCTCCTCCCTCTTTGCCGTAATCATTGGGAAAGATTATGGATAAGTCAAAGAAAAGGTTTTGACTAGAAGCGTTAAGTAAACGCTGATATTTTCCATGAAGCAGGCTGTTAAATAGCACACAGGACTGGATATTGTTAGTAAGAGCAGACATCAATACAGTTGTCACTCGTTCTCTTTTGCAAGTCTAATGCTAATTCACATCTCCGGGTATTGTGTGTACAGGCAGACCTTTGCAACAGAATAACCTTCTTGGAGAGCTCAAGATTCCCGAGGAGGAAATCACCTCTTAGCCCCAGAAGGCTATGGTTTTGGAGGGCACACAGGCGAACTCAAAACACCAGGTACGACCAGTTTCCCGAAGATGAGAACCCACAGCAAGCATGCAGGCGTGGCGGCCACAAGAAAAAGCCACCTCTTCTCCCTCTCCAGGCAATGACTCCAACTCTAAAGAGCCCTTGGCACCCGTGCCTGAGAGAGACCCCCGCACAAGAACAGCACACCGAGCCCCACAAGGTAAAAGCGCCTCTTACTTTTTGGTGGATCTCCCATGTCTCCCATATCTGTAAAAGGGAGTAATGTCCACAGTGAAATGGTGGTTGTACAGTTGGTGAACAGCCCACAGAGAGGATGCTGGAGCTGTGGCTAAGTGGGAAATAGTGGCCCCTGGGGTTGCCAAGGCTGAGAGAGCCGCTGCCCGGCTGCGCCGCGCCCTCGCGGATCTGAGAGTCCAGTTTAAGCCGGCGGAGCTGGCGGAGCAGAGGCGCTGCGGCGGCGGCGGACTCGGCGCGGCTCGGGCACCTCTCTTCCTTATCTCTTACTCAAACTTCTCAGCTCCAACTCAGCTCCATCGCCATTGGTCTGACGCAGCGCGCGGGGACGTCAGGCGAGCGCCGCGCCCATTGGCTGCGGGGTGCGCGGCGCAGCTGTTCTGATTATCATATTTCAGCCTCGCCGCCGCCGTGCGCCACTGACCGCTCGGCGAGCCCGCGGGAGAGGATTAGGGCTCCCGAGGCAACTTGCTCCGGGCTGACGCCGCTCTCTCCCGGAGCTCGGGCTGCCCGGCTGCTCTGGCTTTTGGCCTTCCTCTTCTTGCCCTTCTCGTCCTCTTGCCCCCTCCCTTGCTCCTTGCCGGCCGTGCCGTCTGCGCCCTTGCCTCCCGTCGCGCTGCTCCTCCGCCCTGCGCTCCTGGGGTCCCCGCAATCCGGCTGGCCGTGCTGCGCGCGGGGCACTTTTCTGCCGCCGGTGGCGAGTGGCTGGTGGGTAGGTCTTCCTGATGACGAGGTCCTTCTAGGGTTCTTGGAAAGGGGCGACTTAGAACAGGCCTGTTGGCTCGGTTTGGTCTCGCGCTTTAGCGCTCAGCTCCGGGCCTGGCCGGGCTTGGCTGCTGGGGAGGGGGAGTTCCCGAACTGGCCGCGCCTGGCGCGCCGGGAGCTGCCTAGGGGAAGAAGAACCGGGAATGGGACGAATAAACCCACAGGAATAGTTCTCTACTGCTACCCCCACTATCCCGTTACCACCACCTCTCCAGAAACGGTGGGGTGGGAGGAAAAGAGCGCTTCTTGCCTTAGCGGAGAATCAGGTTGGGAACACGCAGGTAAAACCAGGTGGGCTCCGCGGACCACTCTCTCCTAACAGTCCTTGAGGTCTGCTTTTGCAGTTCAGCCCTAGAATTTAGAAGCGCACTAACCCAAAGCCAAAGACTGAAATATCTTGCGGTAGTGGAAAGTTTGTAAAGCGATTATGTATGTCCTGTCCCGTTCCTCTGTATGCTGGTCTCCTGTCCTTTGTTTTTAAGCAAACGTGTGCAATTGCTGGCGGTGTTTCGGCAATTAAAAGGACAGCTCCCCATGTCTCTAGAGATTAAAAAAAAAAATGTGTTAGTCTAAGGGAGTACGTAGGCAGGGATCTAATACTGAAAGGCAGTGACATACCTGTTTCACTTCACCGGGGTGGTTTACCTGATCATTTTCTCTCGGGAAACAACCTGGAGAGAGGAGAACGTTGGCTCCAACTCGTGGTTAACCTTTTTCAATAATTTCTGACATGTTCCCGTCACCTTTTACAGTCTCCCGAAAACAGATATAGGAAAGGCCACGAAGAACACCCACACGTCTCCCTCCCAAAGCTTCTAAATAGCTAATCTTTATCTAAAGTGACTGCCAGTTTTCTCTTAAAAGGTCCACAAACCTAAGCAGCAGAAGGCTTAATTTCGGTGTCTTGCTGCCGCGAGAAAACCCAGTTGTGTTAGGAAACTCCTTTCTTTGTACTTTTCGCTAGATCTAACCCTTGATAAGAGCGGTGAGCTCTCAGCTAGCCGCAGTGGCTGGGTTTGCGTGGATATGCTTTTCCAGAGCGCAAAAAAAAAAAAAAAAAAAAAAAAGATAAAAAGATGTTTGTTTCCTCCTGATCTAGCAGGGCTTTACTGAGAACACGTTATCTGTTTTGTTTTGTTTTCTCTCAAGGAAGAGTCTTAGCTGGATCTCATGCCTTCTATTTTTATTATATCTCTCTGTGTGTGAAACTGAAAACTGGAATAGATATAGGTTGATAAATTTATCCAATTTTTTGCTTAAAAATCTGTTTCGTTTAAAGTTTCTAGTCTCCAGTATTAGATGCGGGGAGCCTTTTGTCATGCTGCTGTTGCAAAGCTGATGCTGGTAATCAAAAAGCAAAGCAAGTCTTTCTGGTATAAGGGCATGTTTCCCTTACAGATAACCAAGTTGACTCTAGTTACAAAAAAAAAAAAAAAAAAAGAAGAAAAGAAAAAAAGAAAGAAAGAAAAAAGATACTACTATAATGCCAGAAAGTAAATAGAGGATCTTAACCAATCAAATTCCATTATGCCACCTTTATAACATGGAATTAAACAGAAGCTGCCAGAAGCCTGATGACATATTTGAGATCCACCAAGCGCCCTCACTATCCATTCTGCTTCAAACCAGTCACCCAGTGTGGTATTTAAACTTCCTAAACTAATAACCTATTCCAAAGAATTATTGCTGCTGATGGTAGCAATTCCAAAAGAAAAGCTGGCATGTGGTTTGGAGGAAAACCTTTACTCATGCGGAAGATACTCCCTGTTAAAGCGAGAAAGTTGAAGAAACCCAGTGTGTTGTTCGTGACGGTTGTGCTTTGGGGTTCTGTGTCTGCTGCTAATACATTTTGCATCAGAACCAAAGTTAGGGGAGCAAACATTTTTTTCACTTCTGAAAGTTCAAATGTGACCACAGATTATTCTCCTCTTTCCTTAGCTGCCTGCTACATGTGCATTTAATGCATCAAATGTATCAGTAAAAAAAAGAAATTGTGTAATGTTTTTATAGAATACAACAAACCATGATTAGCAATATTTTCCCCCAGTACTTGATCACAGGAGCGACCTCTTGTGTTCGAAGGGGAAATTGGACCCTCTCCCCTCTCCTGACAAAAATGGACTTATTTTGACCTTTGCATGTTCTGTTAGGTCAAAAATACATCTTTCAGCGCAGCAGTTCTGTGAATCCCCTGTTGTGAGCTCCTCTATTGATGAGAGAAGAAGAATATTGGTAGCTATTAAGTATAGTCCCTATTACCTCCAGGCCACCCTAATATACTTAACAGTGTCTGAATATAAAAGGTATGCTGAGATTAAGTAAATTCTTACTCTTGAAGCTGTGGCATCTACGCATGTACACTTGTACACACCTTCCAAAATGCAGCCATTACACCTAAAATTCCTGGTGGGCTCTGAAGCCTATGTGTTTGTGTGCTGTTACTTCCTTTCTCTGATTTAAAATTTAAACATTCCAGATCAAACTTAATGCCAGATACAGAGCCTTGAACGAATATGTTCTCAGGCTACTTTTCAGAAATCTAAATAGGTTTTAATTGCAATTGAAAAGTGGCATTACACATTTAGAATGTATTTATTCCCCCAACAAGCTCAGGCAGATATAAGTGAATTTTAGGTCAATTCTTTGGAAAATTATGTACAGCAAAGGAAAAAACCTTTTCCTTCCCCACTAACCAATATTGGGAAGGAAAGGGGGTTTGATCAGCTTTTCTCTGAACTATGGATTTGTTTGGGACTTATTCCCAGGGAGGTAAAGCTCTCTTTAGAACTGGGTTTGAAGAAGTAGAATAACAACTGGTCTTCCAGTTTCCGGCCGGTGGGGGGGAGGGAGAAAAGAAAAAAAAAATAGATATATATGAAAGATTTATTTTTTCTGATATTTAAAAAAACATGTAATTTGGAGGTCAAAATGAACATATTCACTTCAGAAAATCGGCATGTAATATAGTGTATATGTACTCCAATCCCCTTCTCAGTTTTGCTTTTTCTGTGTAGTCTTAATCATGTAGAATAAGGCTCTATAACCATCCGTATGTTAAATCACATCCAAGGGTCAGATAAAATTATGTGCGTTTAAAGGGGGTAATGATTAGCCATTTATATTCCACCCAGAATGCAAGTATGGGTGTTTAGAGCCAATTTGCCCTTCTTGCAATTGTTTTAGGTGGTAGCTTACTGAGGATGAATCAAGAGACTAATTTCAGAGGAAAAGGGAAGAGATCTTTCTGTACCATTGGGTTTGACACGATCGTCTCTCTTTCCTTTAATTGTCCATTAAAAAAATACCAAGCAATGATAATAATAAAGGCAGTTGTTAACAACAACAACAACAAACCTTCAGTTGTGATTCTCATTTTATTGACTAGGACTCCTGCTGTGAATGTGGTTTTGTTGAGTGTCAGTTGCTTTATTAACCAGTTAAAACAATCTGGGTGAATTAGCAAGAATCTTCTTCTGCAGGCTGAACTTGTTAGCCTACGTTTCTGGGTTCAGGTAACTGTTTCTGTCACCAGTGTTCCCGATATTCTTTACTGGCAGAGGCAGCCGGGGAGGTAGCGTTCATGTGCGGTCTGCTGCTCGGTTACCAGCCCAGATAGAATTCCACGCTGCTGGCAGCGAGGAAGCCACAAACCTCAGTTCAGTCTTGAGCATGTGAGGTTCGCTGTTCATTGCAGGGAGGAGTTCAACCAATTGAGGACAGAAATTTGCACCCTTCATTTAAAATTTTGCCTCTGGAAGTATTCTCATCACACAGAAGCAGCTGGTAGTGTCAGGTGAAATCTTTTTCTTCCCTTTTTTGTGGGGGGAGGGTGTTTGTTTTTGTTACCTCTTTGGAACTGTAAGTGACTAGGCACAGGTAATTTTTAACTGGACCAGAGTTGTGTGTGGAGCCCAAGTTGGAGCCAGTTGAGTGCAATGTGCCGTCTGGGAGGTTCTGGCCCAAGGACGCGCTGAAACCTACATCTGGCAAAGCTTTCATTAAATGTATCGAATTCTCGTGGAGGGTAGTTGGGAGTCTGGAGAGGAGAAAAAGCTTTATCTCCCAAGTCCTGGACGATTCCGCTGAAAGCTAACATATCTGCACTGAATCTAGCAAAACACCCACGGGCTCACCCGAGCTTTCAGGAAACCGGGAGCAAGTTAACTCGATCTAGTTGATCAAATGACATTCTTCCTGAAAGAAATGACACCCTTTTCCCCCACTACAATTTTGTCCGAAGGGCAGCTTTGAGTTTAGCGCCAAAGGATTGATTTCCACCGC